CAATATAATCTTTTCCTTTCATCTCAATCGTTAGTCCTAGAAGGTGAAATGTGACACACTGTTGGAGATTAGCATCATCCATGCTGTTGAAAGGCTAAAAGAGGTTTTCTCTAACGATTAAAAGAGAGCAGTTTCGTTTTTGTGGCATTAAAATTAACGCCTCATTACTTGACCCAGTTCACAACAGATTTTATAAATGATATATTATTTGATTACTCATGTTATAAAACAGATGATTACTTGAGAAAATATCCGGTTTAGTATAAGTCTCTCTTCTTTTCTATCTTCATCGCCAATCATCATATTTCGAAATAAGTTGAGATCATAATCCACATTTCCGCGCTTTACTTATATATATATATATATATATATATATATATATATATATATATATATATATATATATATATATATATATGTCACCAGTTCTTCTCTGCTAAACCCTTTGTCTCTGTTGATAATGTCTTCATAATTTCCTTGACTTTTGTAATCGTAGAGCGGACCCGAATGCAAAAGTCACACTATTTTGTACAACGATCTATTAATTCTGTTACAGTCATACCCGTCAATTTTTTTACATTGTCCAACCAGTTTTTGCGTTGGCACCCTCTTCTAGGTCCGCTTTCTACGGTGCCTTGCATGCTGGTCTTGCACAGTCTGTCGTGCCGTGTAATGTGGCCAAACCACGCCATTTTCCCCGTTTGACAGAGAAGACGTTCTTGGTCTCCCGCAAAACTTTCAACCTTTTTCCGCACACACTCATTGATTTTTTGTTCCCAATAGAAAATGCCAAAGAGATTTCTCATGCATTTTGCCTCAAACGCTTCCCTCTCTCTGTATCTACCAACAGTGTCCACGTTTCACATCTATATAGCAGAAGGGAGACTTCCAGCGATCTGTACAGTCTCTACGATGTTTGATGTTAATTCCTTGTTTGTGTTGCCATGGAACTGAGGTCTCTAGAGGACGAATGAGTAAATAACCTCATTCTCTGCCCTATGGAAGTGGCCATGAAAAGGGATTCTCCTCACATTTATTGGGGAACATACAGGTCATTAGTTGCCTTATATCATATCTCTGTTAGTATGTTCTAACCGGGAAATAATTTAGCTCTCCTTAGAAATCTTGCGTAGGCGACACCTCAAATTTTCACGAGTTATTGTCCATGTTTCAGAGACGTAGAGAAATATTGACCCAACTGTGGCCTTGGATATTTATACCTTAACACTTATGTCAGAAAGTCTTCTCTTATAAATGCGATTTGAGGTGAACCATGTTATGTTTTCCCCGACATTAATATCCTATTTCAGAAGATGAAAGATATGAGTCTAGGTATTTTTCTAAAAGTTTTAATTCCAGTATTTATCTTATTATTTTGAAAATGGTTAAGGAATTCAGTTTTTGTTTCGGTGACGTAAGTGCAAACACAGTGAGTTAAAGCTATATTGCATGCATAACGAATTGCTTAATGTTTATAAGAAAATTATTCGGTTTCTTTAGACAAATAAAAAAAACTTTCCTCCTCCCGAGCGACTCTGCAAAAATAATTGTGTATTCGTCTACCTCCATCTCTAGCCAAACACGCCTGACCTCTGCCCTTTGTATTTTCAATTATAAAACTTAATTACTTTGTCTGGTCAGTTATTTATTCTTCTAAGATTTAATCAAACTAATTATACTAATTAGATTAGCATCAGGATTACATTGTTTATTGGATGGATTATCAGTAGAAAGAATTGTGTGAAGAATAAAGTTAATAATGATGCTCTTGTTTGTAATATAAGTGCGTTTAATATCAGACACAAGAGGATTTGGCCTTTGGGAAACAGAATGATATCCTAGAAGTCGATATTTCTGCCAAACCAGAAAATCTGCTGAAATATTCTCGGCCTAACTAAGAAGCACTACTCATGGTTTACCTTACGGTTAGGTTTTGTTACGTGGGTTCCTCACACCCTCGAATATGTTATTTTTCGATCATCTGAAACACAATTATCGTTTCTCTCATACCATTATATATATATATATATATATATATATATATATATATATATATATATATATATATATATAACATATCTTACAACTACATAAAAAATATAGATATAGCATACCTTTAAATTAAATGCATATACATGTATATATATATATATATATATATATATATATATAACACAGTTTTATGCTTATACATTCATTATATATATATATATATATATATATATATATATATATATATATAGAGAGAGAGAGAGAGAGAGAGAGGGAAAGGAAGAAAGATAGAGAAAGAGAAAGAGAGAGAAATTAATGCAAGAAAAAGGTTTGTCACTTAGCTGATTGATGTTTTCTTCAGCATCCCAAGTCCAGTGTTTCGTAGACAGATCCCCCCATAGAATCACTCCGTCCACTCCTCAGAGTCTATCAGCAAATCACTATTTATAGTCGTATTTTTACGTAAGTTTTTATGTACAGAATTCAAAAAGTATATAACTAGTTTAGCATTTACCTCTCTACCCCTAACACCTGTCATTCCTTTGGAAACCATATTCTCTGGTTTGTATATTTTATGTAACCATATATATCCGCTTTAAGTTTCTGTCTGGCTGGTATTAGCTGCCAATCTGTGGGTCATGACCCATTTATAAAAATTAATTTTTAATTTTTGCTTGCTCGCATAGTTTAAATTTAAGATTGGTCATATTCGACTGGTTGATCGGAGTAAAAAAAAACTTATAAATAACTTCGAAAAAAACAGGTTGTATTTTGCTTTTAAATCTTAATAAATCGTAAAATCGCCTGATAAGATGCATTGATATGCATTGAAACACGATTGCAATTGTGTAGCGATTTTCACATGCTTTCGGTGTAATATCCTAAATAAAACAATATCGCTCTAACATAATAATATTGCTATTTTAACGGTTATTTTGGCAGGAGTGGTTTATTTATTTATTTATTTATTTGGTGCAATTTATTTTGCTTGTTTTATATTATATATATTTATTCATACTTTTTGGTTTTTGATGTTTTTAGTAACGTAGTAAAAAATTAAGATTAGTTTTGATCGTTTATTTAATAGTTTGTTTTGGTCTTGGAAGATAATTAAAGCCATTTCTTCCATCCAATATTTGTCTATTCTAATTGTTATTTTGGCGGGAGTGGTTTGATAATATTTTTATCATATTATTTATTTGGTTTGACGTAGTAGAAATTTTTGCGGCGAATTCAGATCGTTTATATAAAAGTTTATTATGGTCTGAGATGGTAATTACAGCTTTGATTGTTGTAGGCTATTCAACTATTAAATAAACGATCAAAACTAATCTTTAAAAACGTTTTACTACGTTACTAAAATATCGAAAACCGAAAAAAATGAAAAGTATATATATATATATATTATATATATATATATATATATATATATATATATATATATATATATATATATATATATATATATAAAATAATACACACAAACAAACACACACACACACACATATATATATATATATATATATATATATATATATATATATATTAAAAAAAAAAAAGAAGCAAAATAAATTAATCCAAATAAATAAACCACACTCAGGAAAATAACCCTCAGGATGTATTACCTACAGTGTACCACTGAATCATATAGATAAATAGACGCGAAAAAAAGATATGTGGCCTGAAGATTGCGTCGACTCTGAATGTTGACTTCAATGTTCAATTTTATATATATATATATATATATATATATATATATATATATATATATATATAGAGAGAGAGAAAGAAAGAGAGAGAAAGGTTGTAGTTGTTCTAACCACAGAAAAACGTATAATCTAAAAAGAGAGAAACCGCAAATGGTTTTTTGTATATAATGGCCACAAATCCATTTTATAACGTTTTGCAATTTCTCTCTTATATATATATATATATATATATATATATATATATATATATATATATATATATATATATATATATTCTGGAATATAAAATTAGCCAATTATTTATATTCACTAATATACTTTTATAGCTCTGTCTCATAACATTGAGACCTCTATTTATAATACCTATGGGAGAATGGACTACCACTTATCCATATATATAAATAGTGGAGAAAAAACACAACATATTTTGCCTGATGATCGTATCTAGCATGAAACCGTCTGTCGCCTCTGAGTGTTGACTTTAATGTTCACTTTTATAGCTCTGTTAAAACATACGATTGAATCATTTACACTTTCCTTTTTTTTAATTGCCCTTTATATCAAATGTGTGGTTATATAGTAAAATCAAAGAGTAAATATCATGGTTCTATTTATAATTTAAGATTATTATATCCAGCCATTCGTTTGGCTTCCCTTGGAATCGATTCTCAAACTGAAACCTAAATTATGACGCCAGTTAAGTTAAAAGTGCAAACTTGGTTGCTGAAAAATTTATTTGTTTACAACACTTTTAAAATGGCGTATTTGTTGATTCTGCACATGCGTGAAAACATAGGATTCAGTATCTCGCTGGAGTGCATCAAATTGACTGACATTGAGAAGTGAATTCCCTCGGAGCTGTCATTTCTTTTATCCTCCTGTGTTGAATCAAAGGCTCAAACAAAAGAAACACAATTAATAAAGGACTCGCCCAAAGAACTCGAATGTTTTCGAATGTTGCAAAAGGAAATCTTGTATTTTTACAAACGTATATTTTTGGTAATCCCAAAATAGAGAGAATCATTAGTGAAAGTGAAAGAGAAAAGGAAATTTTCTCTTTCACTTTCATTTTCTTTCTTTCTCTTTCGGTCTCTGTTCCACTAACTTGCACTTACTTTCACATCTCACACTCATTGTTTCTCCCTCTCTTTCTCGCGCTATAATATTCTCTCTCCGATCGCACTTTCTCTTGTCAGTCTTTTTTATTTCCCCCTCTCTATCTCTCTATCTCTCTCTCTCTCACACACACACACACACACACACACACACACACAATCGGCTTTTCTCATTCTCTCGTAGTCATTTTCAATCCCTATCACGTGATTTCTCTTTTTATCGCCCCTCTCCCTTTCTCTGTCTCGTCCTCTCATTCCAGCTCTCACGCTTTCCTACTCCTCCTCTCTATCCCCCCCTTTCTATCACATTCTTTCTCTCTCCGGTCGCTCTCTTTCTTCTCAGTCTTTTTTATCCCCCCTTCTCTCTCTCTCTCTCTCTCTCTCTCTCTCTCTCTCACTCTCTCAAGATCTGGTTTTCTCATTTCTCTTTTTATCACTCCGCTCTCTCTCTCTTTGTCTCGCCCTCTCTTTCGATATCTCTCGCTCTTCTATTCCTCCTTTCTATCTCCCCGACAGGGCAACTTTTAAGCTAGTTTATAATAAAAGGTGCACTGCAATTTTGGATAAAAAAGAAAATAAGAGTTACTCCCCTTAAACCATGAAAGCAACGATAATGGCTAGTATAATATATATATTTAAACTCGCATAATCTGGCAACCCTGAATCTGAGCTCAACGAAAATCGTTCCCTACGCCTAACTTTTCTAGGGCATTTGAACGAGTTATGGATCATTAAAATCGGACCAGTGGGAGCGGAAGAGTTGCTTGGACGCACAAACACACTCATATACACTTTACTTTATATATAAGATTATGTTAATAGTAACTGGAAACATAATAGATAGTTCTTGTGGCTTCTTTATCGAAATTTTATTGCATCAACTTTTTATAAAAGCCGCGTTTTTGTACTTACATAGGGCTGCAAACAAATCATGCTGGCTAACATATTTTTTGGCACCTAACTTTAAATGGGCCCATTTTGGTCCAGTTTAATTGCCTCTCTTACCAGAAATATTATTTTGAAAAAAATATATACTGTTTTAACTTTTGAGAAATGCAAAACTCTTCATGAAGTTTGATCTTTTGATAAAATTGTTTGTGAACTCATGCAAAACACACTCGACCGTGAAAAGCGTAAAGTAAATTTACATTTTCGGAAATTAAAAATGCATATGGCTAGCTCTACAGATTCTGTATCAATGCTTTTAAATAGTAAATTTTCAAAATTAAATTAACAATTTATGTATTTATAAGGGTTTCTATAGTGGCGTAGAAATTATTGTTTTAAGTGATCAGTTGTGAAGTTATGAAAATTACGAGGAAATACGCTGACTATTTTTAGCAAAACAAGATAAGGAATATAGTAGGTTGGTGCATAATTATCAAGCGTTTTGTAGGTGAGTTATTTGTTAATAAAAATTGCTGTTTTGTTTACTTTTTTTTCTAAATAAAAATATTATTTTATTTTCAGGTTATAAAAATGCATGTCGATAATTGTATGCTCTGAAATTATCATTTAAAATGCTATTGTTGAATTGTTATGTTTCTTCTTTATGATAAATATTGTTTAAAAAACGCCTGATAATTATGCACCAACCAAATATTCACAAATTTATACGTTTGACTTGATAATTACCAGTAGAAGTCATGCCATTAATACAAGTAGGGCTCAGTTCAGGAAAATAAATCAGCATTCTTAACGGATTGTCATGAACAGAAAGGTAAGAGAATCCGTTAATGCCTGAAGGGATATATCGTTTGCATACTTTCAAAAAGAGACGAAGAAATACTTAGCTTTCTTAGATTCTTGGGAGAACCTTATTTGAGGTGTCATTGTGCTGTTTAGAGGGCGATAATATACTCCGTGAAAATTTTCCATTGGCGAGAAATTCGACGCAAGTTGGGAGAAACTGAAACGAAACCTTTGACATGATTTCATATACTCATCTCTTGTTAATGAATTTTCCTCTTCACTTTATATCAAAAGAAATTTCGCATAGGCTCGGGATTTTATTTCTTTTTCCTTCTTGGCTGACCGGATAATTTCTGTGAAGGTAAGGTTTTCACTGGTTCAAAAACAATTTCACATAGAATTGCGAATTCCTTTCCTTCTTCCCCAACTTACCCAAATTTGAAGGGAGGAGGTAAAATGAGGTATTATTTGGCACTCACGATATATTAGATACAGATGCGGAGCAACGTAAAATATTTCTTATATTATAAGTAAAAAAAAAGATCTTTTATAAGGTCGAAGGTTTGCGTAATGTTCATAGGATTACCAAGGTATAAGTGTTAGTATGCACCATATTTGACAGACTTGCATTTTTTTTATTCTACAAAATTGTGTGATTATTTACATTTATATCTTGGTCAGCCTATGAACTTTTCAGCTGTCTCTCGTCGAGTGAAACTGCAACATTTCTTATAGATACTCTCAAATTTTAACATCAAATGTAAACTTTATGAATAGATAGCTAGTCAGATAGATAGATAGATAGATAGATAGATAGATAGATAGATAGGTAAACGTGTGGTCACATATTTGCAAAATCAATTCAAACGATTTTGAATTTATTTCATAAAATAAGTGCATTTATATTGCTTCATGAAATTCCTTTGGGTGGAATTTGTTTGCGAATTTCGAAATTCTGAATAGAAGATAAATTCTGATACTTAAAAATTGTTTTTGTTTTCTTCAAAGAACGCATATTGCCTCACCTTTTCATTATCAACATTATGAATGCTAAAGACTTTTTGGCAGAAAGCCTATTGAAATGTGCTTTTCTCATAGTTGCATCAACACTCATAAATCTTGGAGAACGTTTTGCTAAACTATGCAGAAGGCAAGAAGTTGTATGCATTCTCCCCTTAGCTGTAAGAAATTTTATCCCTGTATCTAATGTCTTGCGTTTCAATGGTAAAAAGAATTTTTTTTTAGTGAATGCTGTACTCTGACGAAAAATGTATACTTTTTTTATTATAAATTCTAATTTAAAAAGCAACATAGAAAGAGCACTCCTTACAGTGAATAATGTTAGATAAGGGTGCATAATAAAAGGATTGTATATCAAAACTATTTGCTATTTAAGTACAATTCGTAATTACAATTGATTAAATATGATGTCATTTTTACCGCAATGGTAACCCAGATAGATAGATAGATAGATAGATAGATAGATAGATAGATAGATAGATAGATAGATAGATAGATAGAATTAAAGATAGGTAGATAGATATGAACAGAATGAGGATAGATAGATAGATAGATAGATATAGATAGATAGATAGATATGAACAGAATGAAGATAGATAGATAGATAGATAGATAGATAGATAGATAGATAGATAGATAGATAGATAGATAGATATGAACAGAATGAAGATAGATAGATAGATAGATAGATAGATAGATAGATAGATAGATAGATATGAACAGAATGAAGATAGATAGATAGATATAGATAGATAGATAGATAGATAGATAGATAGATATGAACAGAATGAAGATAGATAGATAGATAGATAGATAGATAGATATGATAGATAGATATGATAGATAGATATGAACAGAATGAAGATAGATAGATAGATAAATGGATAGATAGATAGATAGATAGATAGATAGATGGATGATATGAGATATGAACAGAATGAAGATAGATAGATAGATAGATAGATGGATAGATAGATAGATAGATGAGATAGATAGATAAGAACAGAATGAAGATAGATAGATAGATAGATAGATAGATAGATAGATGGATGGATAGATAGATAGATAGATATGAACAGAATGAAGATAGATAGATAGATAGATAGATATATGGATAGATAGATAGATAGATAGATAGATAGATAGATAGATAGATAGATAGATATTAATACGCTTTTCGGTCAAAGCTTACATTGGAATAATTCTCTAGAAAGAAAATACCCAATTATAATTAGCATCAATAAAAGAAACGTTGATTAATAAGTATCACAAAACATCCAATTATGCCAAAAGGCAATTATTGTATTTAAATATTATATATTTAAAAATTCAAATTAATTACCAACATTAAGCAATAAACGCAGGATATAAAGCAAATGCTGCTATTCATTAATTTACAAAACACGGATATTTTGAATTTATTTCTGCCGTCTTTTCTCAAAATTTGACCAACATTTCCTGGCATAAATTGTTACTTTGTAGCCTATTTATTCCTTACATCTCTGTAAGTTTGTTTCAGATCTCTTGTTTCCTGAATTTTTTCCAAAAGATACTATATGTAACATCTGGAAATTGATAACTATTAAATATTGTCAAGTACTTATATTCTTGCTTTAAGTCACAATACCAGAGAAGCTTAATGATACATCAGCTTGTCATGTGCAGTAGAACTGTCTAGATGGATATTGAAACATCGTTCAGAAGATGACAGCCCTAAAAATAAAATGAACAGGGAAATGGTAAGATATTGATGAATCCACAAAACAACACACAGAAAACTACTTGTGTGTACAATAAAGATAATAGTTACTCGATGTTTTGGCTGAAGACATCATTCAGTATTGATCTTTGTAAGAAGTTAAATCAATTTCAGCCAAATCCTTCTCCAACAAAATTGACTGTATACAAGACAAGATTCAAAGAAATTCTCTAATCATACCGTCTCAAATCATGTTTCACTGTTGTACAGTCGTTATAATGAAGCGTTGAAGTATTTGCGTTATTCACTAGAAATCTCTCAAAAAATTATCGTTTTTTTTTTAAACATTTTGAGCTTTCCATCGGCAGAAGAGGATTCTCTCATTAGCGAAGATATAACAAGTTTTAAAGGAACGTTGGAAGAATCTTCTGGAATAAAGTGGATATCATTTTGATTAAATAATAGCGTTTTTTTGGGGGGGAGGGTGGCGGTATTGCCTTCTATTGATATACCACATTTTATATAGGTGCTACCTTATATAAATGATAAAGTATATATTTTTTTTAAATTAACCCCAACCAAAGCGAGAAAAACCGTTAAAATGCGAAGGATTACCGAGAAACAAGGAAACAGAGAGGACAATAAAGTATTTTGAGGAGAAAGACGATGACGATTGACATTACATTGAATTGTTTTGAAGATTAAAGTTGTCTGGAAAGCAAAAAGCCTGAAAAGAGTTCCCTGAACGAGAAATACGGGTGAAGAAACCCCTAACATAGAACTTTTGCTTACAACTATTAAATTCATCCATCCATTTTATTTAAATAGACATCCACCTCGAATATATGTAAATTGTAATTGTACTTGAATCGAATCAACCCTCATTTCCAGTGTTAGGATGTTATTATTATTTTTCATGAAATGTAAATTGAAATATCGAGTTTATTTATAGACAACAAAAACGTTTATAAAATAATTAAGAAACGTAAGGCAGAAATAATTCTATCACTTAAAGAAATTAACTTTTTGCAAAGTTTCACGTTTTTAGCAATCTTGCTTTATTGAATAAATCATCTAAGCTTGTGCAGGCAGGAGTTTCCCAACCTATGGTCAAATG